TGACCTATCCCCTCCCTAACTCCCCACCTACACTCACCTTTACTGGCCCCATCCCCGCCTCTTCGACCTGTTTGTTTCCTCTCCACCTATCCTCTCCTCTATCCCTCTTCTATCCGCCTCCCACTCTCTCCCTATTTATTTCAAAACCCCCTTCCCCTCCCCCTTTTCTGATGAAGGGTCTAGGCCCGAAACGTCAGCCTCTCTGCTCCTATGATGCTGCTTGGCCTGCTGTGTTCATCCAGCCCTGCACCTTGTTGTCTCGGATTCACCAGCATCTGCAGTTCCTACTATCTCTGATAAATCTAGGGACAAGTTGTTACCTTTTAGGGTTTTTAAATTTGTTTATAATATCGTATAATGTATTTGTGTGTCTGTAAGTTGCAAAGAGCTTTTCCTTTTTTCTTTCAAGGTTGTTAATCGACCCCTCATTGATCCACCTGTTGTAGAAGCTGTGGAAAGTGATTTTTTATGTGAATCTCCACTGGAGGATGTGAAGACTGCTGTCCTAGGGCTTCTAGAGATTCTGCAGGTCGAACATAAATCTTGTGCCTAATTCCATTGAAGCTTATTTTATTGAAATTGTAGTTTATCATCAGCCATCTTCAGAGTAAAGTTGATATACAAATGTATTGGGTGGATCATAATTTTAAAATTACATTATACGCTGAGCGGAACTGTACATCATGGAAAGTATTTTATTTTCGTCACCCAGTCATTGTCATCAATTGCTGCATTTAAATTGTTAACAAGCATGTCTTGTGCTTCGATGTTTTATCTCTTTGCTGGGGTTTCTATCTGTTTCATTACTGGTTAATCTAATGGTGCTGGGTTGTGCAAATTCTATTGAGAACTTTTATAGGAATGCAAGCATGGCCTCTGAAGTAGGAAATTGATGGGGAAATGATTTCACTTCATTGCTCCTGGCGCATGATAGAAATGTGCATCACAAGGTTGCACATTGTCAATCCAAGTTGAATAATTTCTTGATGAGTTTGAACCTTTTTATCCATATGCTAATATTTCTGATATCTTAAATAGCCTTCACCACGCTGTTCCATTTAATTTAACTTTATAACTTGGTAAAGAATGTTTTAAGCTTCAAATAAGAATGCTGTTAGTAGGCCTTTCACACCAGCAGGTGGCGCTTCCCCTCATTTCAAAGTGAACCGACTTCTATATTTCTGTCTTTAAAACTGCGATCATTATCTATTCAGAGATAGTCAATACAGCAAATGTTTGTGGAGTCGGTGTGATGATGCATCCTGTTTATCTTGATGAACTTTGAAAGAAATTCAAAATGCTGGTCACACCATATTTAAAACAACCTGCTCCTTATTCAAGAAAGTGTTCATTGGACTCTTCATTAATGTGTTATTGAGCTCAGCTACTTTTGTAGATAGGAAATGGATGCTGACATATAAACCCACCACCTGCCCTTGAAGCATATTTTACTGTTCAAAATAGAAAGTGTAGACTGGGAAGAATTGAGTGGGCTAATAATTTGGTGTTGAACTGAAACAGAATATTAACTTTATGCTGAATACATTCTGCAGTTAATCAATCTTACATACAATCAGGTAGCAAAAATTTTAGATAATATCCTGCAGAACAAATAACTCCAATGACTTGCTTGAAGGAGGAGTCAGTCATGAATTATATTAATGTATGATTAGTCATCCATTTAAGACAGATGAGGAGAAACTTCTTGTGAGGGTAGGTGATCTGTGGAATTCTTTACCACAGAAGGTTGTTAAGTATATTCAAAGCTGAGATAAGATTCCTAATCATTAAGGGAATCAAGGGTTATAAGGATAAGGCAGTTAAGTGGAGTTGAGGATTATCAGAACAGCCATGATGCCATTAAATGGCAGAGTGGACTAGATGGGTCAAATAATCCTTTTCTGCAATATCTTATGATCCATAGATAGAATCCCTACAGTGTGGAAACAGGCCATTTGGCCCAACAAGTCCACACTGATCCTCCAATGAACACCCCACCCAGGGCCACCCCCACCATCCCTGCATTTCCCATGGCTAATGCACCTAACCTGTACATCCCTGAACACTAATTTAACATGGCCAAACCACCTAACCTGCACATCTTTGGACTATGGGAAGAAACCGGAGCACCCGGCAGAAACCCACACAGACACGGAGAATGTGCAAACTCCACACAGACAGTTGCCCGAGGGTGGAATTGAACCCGGGTCCCCTAGCACTGTGAAGCAACAGTGCTAATCACTGAGCTGCTGTGCCACCCCTCATATGGTCTTATGTAGGAATCATAGCCGAGTTGTATCCAGAAAGGATTATCAATAACAATAAAACAAATGGCAAATCGTTTGTTTCAATTGTTAATTAGGTGATAAATGATGGTCAGAACAGTTGGGAACAGACCCCTCTACCTGTTCCAATGGTGCTGTGGGATCTGTTGTCTCTCTCTGGCAGTACAGGCATTTAACCTCATATCTGACAGTGCCACACACCTGCAGTAGTGTATGTCTACAATTTAAATTGATTCTGACATTTTATGCCAAAAGTATTAACGCGTTTTTTTTTCCAGACCAAATTGTATAGTTTACCAGCCAGTCATGCAAGCCGGGCATATGAGCTTCTGATTAGTCACATTCAGTCACACTACCAGCAAATGTACGCCTCTTCCATCGCAAGCAGTATACGCTTAAAGGTAGGTAGGACAAGGGAGTTTATCTCATTGTAGTTTTAGAACCAATGTGCAGTTCCATTTATAACCTATTGTGTACTGGACTTTATTTAATGGTTAAGTTAACAAATTATCTTTGATTGATTGAAATCCACTAATTAACTTAAGAAATATTTGTCAGTTCTTTAAACCTGCTCAGTTTTTCAACATACTGTGGTTCTCCAAGATTCGTGATTGCAATATAATAATATGGTGGTTTAAGACTGTAGTGTCTCCAATGAGTTGCATTTATATAATGACTTCTACCATATTAATATCCCAGGGGTTGGCAAGACTGCTTAGAGAACATGTAGCAAGTTACTTGAGTCTATCAATCGACCTGTCTCATTGCATTTTCTGAAGAGGAGTGACCTATAGACCAAGCTGCAAGGAACTCATCAGATGTAGAAATATCCCCAATTTAATCTTTGTCTTTCAGCTGATGTTCCTGTATACTATGCACGAACATGACATAACTGGCCTATGGGTCTATATACCTTTTTGCTCTTAAAATTGGTCAATGCAGTTGGTGTGTTGCTTTGAGGAGCTTGTTTCTAATTTTCGATTTCTGTCCCTGAATATTGTAGTAGTCTTTTCCTCCCTCCCTTCTCAGGAAGACAAAGTCAGGTCACTGATGGAATGTAACTGAGTACAGTGACTATTCAATTTACAACTTTTTATAAAACTTGTTCCACGATGTCATTATGTAGAATTGAAACCCTGAATTTGAATATCTCAAAGTAAGTTCATTAGTTGTGCTGAATCCTTTTTATGGACTATAGATCTTTGACGTCTGAAGTAGGAATTGAAAAACAATGCACTTTCTAAAATCTACCTACACCTTCTAATCATAGCTCTGCACCAAGAAAATAGTTTTTACTGTAAAATTGAATAATACAAGCAAAATCTGTGTCAAAGGTGTAACATTTTTCAATGTCTTGAAATACCAGAAACATAATATCAATGAAAACAGAGCATTAATTGTTTCAATAACTAACAAAGTTCTTTCCATAGGTATTCACTTTCTTTCTGGATCTTCGAGTTGACTCTCTTTTTCGCATTGGAGTGCCAAATAAGGATAGGATAGTGAGATTCAGCCCATATTGTCTCTGTGGAAGCAGGTAGGCAATTTTTGGCTTCAGTTTTATTCTTGATTCAGTCCATTCTTTCAGAGCCTGTAATACTGATAATAGAGCATAGCAACACAAGTGGACCATTCAGGCTCAAGCCTGTTGCATTGTTCTTTTAGCTGGTGGCTAATTTTACTTCAACGCCATGTGCTGCATGCCCTAGGTATTTCCATGTAACAAAAATTCCACAATATAGGTCTTGAAAATTTCAATTGATTCAGCATATACAGCTTTTTGAGAAAAGAGTTCTAGATTCTATGCGTGGACTCAGGTCACATGACACAGCAGGACATTTGCATTGATTTGATTGTACAGTCTTTGCTTGAATGAGACACTTGTGGCATGTATTTTAACTGTGTAACCTTGGTACTTAAGATGTGAAATGAGAGTTGACATGAATGTAACTTTCTAGATACAATATTAGCTTGAAAACTTGTAATCGGCCATGACCCCTCAGCTTGATTAAGCAGCCTTCTGGCACATGGGAGCAATACCTTATTTCCTTTAAAATCTCCAATGTTCACTTAATTATATTTTGTTGTAGTGAATCTGAGAAGAGAGGCTCTGAGAAAAAAGGGCAAGGTACAGTTTCTCCACCAGCAGGAAGCCCTGCAGCAACTCAGAGTACCACCATTCGCATGGGCTATTTACCTTTCTCATTGGCTTTTAATGCTCTTCTCCAGTGCCTCGAACATGTAAGTAAAATGGTTTCCTATCAAAACACAAATATGTGAAATGAGTAAAATGTTCTTTTGAATTCTCTATTAGGCTATTTCTCCTGCAGACCATGTACATTTGCTGTGGTTACTGACTGAACCTAATTGTTTGTGAGGAAGCATTTTCTAAATGTCTTCTCATTTTCCTGTTGTACTCCTCTTGCAACTCAAGTGAAATCTACACAATGCTCATCCAATGCTTTTGTTCCATGTGTCAGCATTTCCATACTGCTTATAATCATTGTTTTTCAGAGTATATAATTTTTTTTTAACTTATTGATGTCTCTCAATCCCATCCTTAACCAGAGAATTATTTGCCTATTATTCAAAGCTGTGAATTGAGAGGTGAGCTTTTTCAGCTGGGATGCTTTTTGATTTTCCAAGCAACTTTTAAAATAATACAGAGTCCCAAGGTGCCTTGGAGAATTATAAAACAGTATGACCCGAACCACAGCATTGCTATTAGTCAGTTGACCAAAATCTTGTTCAAAAACGTAGGCTTTAAGGAGTATTTTAATGGATGAGGTGAGATAGAAGCATAGTGACGGTGTAAGAAAGATGTTCTGTAACTTGTGGACTAGGCAATTGAAGGCCCCATCTCCAATGATGGACCAATTATGATGGGGAATGCATACGAGACCAGTATTAATGAATCTTGGATGTCAGAGAGTTCTACAATTGAGGAAATTACAAAGAAAAGGAGGGATGAGAATTGAAAATGGCGATGAGAATTTTAAAATCAAAATGTTGCTTGACCAGGCGCCATTGTAATTCAGTGAACAAAGGGGCAGTAGGAAAACAGGTTTTGTTGCAGGTGGCACAGTTGTGGACAATCTTCAGTTTACAGTAGGTAGAATGAGGAAGATCAGCTAGCAGTGCATTGAGTTGAGAGGTAATGAAGAGGTGAATGAGGGTTTCAGCAGCTGCTGAACTGAGATGAATGAGGGTGGGCAATATTCCAAATATGGAAATAGTTGCTCTTAGTGATGGCATGAGTATGAAGTTGAAATCTTACCAAATGTGTGACAAAAGCGGTGAACAGATTGGCATAATCTCTGACCATTCTCAAGGAAAAGGATGGCATCACTGGCTAAGAAATTGAGTTTTGAGCATGGACTGAAACAATTGTTTTGGTTTTTCCTATACTTAATTGAAGGAAATTTCTGCTGATCCAGTATTTTATGTTGGATAAACTGTCTGATAAGTTAGCAGCAGCGAGGTAGAGTTGGATGTCCGTAAGACTATAAGAAGTAGGAGCAGATGTAGGCTATTTAGCCCGTCAAGTCTGCTCCACCATTTATTGAGATCATGGCTGATCTGATAACCCTCAACTTCACTTTCCGGCCTCATCCCCAGAACTTTGATTCCATACTAATTTAAAATCTGCCTATCTCAGCCCTGAATATACTCTGACCCCGTTTCAGCAGCCCTCTATGCCAAAGAATTCCACAAATGTGCTACCCTCTGAGAGAAACACAAAATCCTGCTCATTTCCACCTTAAATGGTGACTCCATAATCTGAGATTATTCCCTCTGGTCCTAGACGCATGCCGAAAGGGAAACAACATCTTTCTATTTATCCTGTCATACCCCCTAAGAATCTAAGTTTCAGTGAGGGCCCTTGTTATTCTTATAAACTCCAATACATACAAGCCCAACTTACTGAAGCTCTCCTTATAAGAAAATTCTTCTATACCTGGAATCAACCTAGTGAGTCTTCTCTGGTCTGCCTCTAATGCCAGTACATCTTTCCTTAGATAAGAAACCAAAGCTCTTGCACTATTCCAGGTGTGATCTGACTAGTGCTTTGTATAGTTTTAGCAAGACTTCAATATTTTCATACTCCATTCCCTTTGAAATAAAGGCATTCCCTCCCCCACTAACAGTTTATTTGCCTTCCTGATTATCCACTGAACTTGGATGCTAGCTTTTTGTGATTCATGCATGAATGCCCCCAAATCCTTCTGCTGCAGCTTTCTGCAATGTGTCAATTTTAAATAATATCCGCTCCTCTCTTCCTGCCAAAGTACATAATCTCACATTTTCCTCCATTGTATTCCAACTGCCAAGCTTTTGCCCACTAACTTAACCCATCTGTATCCATCGTTAGACTCTTGTGTCATCCTCGTACTTTCCTTCCCATCTGTTTTATGTCATCTGTAAACTTGGTGATACTACATTGATTTCTGTTATCCAAACCATTAATACATATCGCAAATAATTGTGGCCCCTGCACTGATCCCAGTGGCACTCCACTAGTTATGTAGGTTGCCATCCTGAAAATACTCTCTCTATCTGAACTCTTGGTCTTCCCTTTGTTAATCCTTAATGTATGCTAATATACTGCCACTAACATCATGGGCTCTTCTCAGGTAGCCTTATGTGTGGTTCCTTATCAAACACCTTTTGGAAATCCAAATATATTACAATCTACTATTTCACCTTTTTTCTATTCTGCTTGTTTTCTCCTCAAAGAATTCTAATAAATTTATCGGGCATGATTTCCCCTTTGTGAAGCCATGCTAACACTGCTTGATTATATTCTATATTTCTAAATGCTCTACCATTATATCCTTTATAATGGATTCTAACATTTTCCCAATGGTGGATGTTAAGCTACCAGGCCTGTGGTTACTCTTGTTTCTTGTCTTCTTCCCTTTTTGAATAAGGATGATACATTGGCAGTTGTCCTCAGAGTACATGTAAAAACTAAGCTGCAAATCTGTTGCAAATTTATTCATTCTGTACTTATGCTGTGCAGTTCTTTATTCATAATTGCTGCCAAACCTGATGACGTTTGCTTCATGTGTTCCTCTGAGTGAAATAGTTTCCATTGAAGGTGAATTTGTGGCAACCGGATTTATACTGGCACTTTTAATTTATGGTTGGATTTCTAACGTTTTGTAATAAAAATCTCATCTGTTTTAGTGAGGTATATTTTATGCGCATACTTTTGTGGATGAAGTTGGGTATTGTCTGTTAAGTGCTTCAGGTGGAGGATGCTATTGTCAGTTCTGGAGGCCTGTATTGACATTTGGAAGATGCAGTTCTTGAATTCAAAGAACAAAGAAAATTACAGTACAGGAACAGGCCCGTTGGCCCTCTAAGCCTGCACCGACAAAATTCACTGGCTCTTGAAGTGCTTGGTCTCACGTGCTCCCATCTTGCATGTTTAAACCCTCTAGATCTTGAACATTCATTTGATAATGTTGTTCTTAAAATGATTTTAGAGTTCCTTGGATTCCAATGCAGAAGTTTCTTTTTTGAAAGTTTAAGACCAATTGGAAGCATTTTATCTTGTGTTCCTTCATCAATTCAATCAACTTGGTGTGATTTTTTAAAAATATGCATATCCAAATGGTAAATCAGGAACTTGTGTTGATCTTTCAAAGGCCATGTTCTGCTTATCATTTGCCTTTGATATTCAATGCATTTCATTCCTCCATTGCCTTACCCCACCATACTACTTCAATTTCTTCTACTGTTTGGTCTTGTTACAAATCCTTTGTTAATCTGACTTCCTGTATATCCCTGTCTTCCCAGCAATTTGTATTTCTGTATTTCATTAATGTAATAAAAAAGCATAAGGTGCTTCCCGAGGTGTTATAAAACATATGCTGAACAATGAGATGTTAGCATGGATGGCCAAAGCTTTCGGCAAAGTAAAGTTTTTAAGGAGTATTTTAAATGGGGAAAGCAGAGTGATGGTTGAAAGAATTCCAGAGCTTGGGGCCTTGGCAGCCGAAGGCACAGTGGCAGAACCTTCAATTCCCCTCTCTGTTTCCAAAATCTCTTCCACGTTGCTTTGTTTCTCCCCGCCTGTATATGCTCAAAACCAGCTTACTGAACCACGCTTTTTTAGTCAGTGTTCCTGTTGTCTTCACTGTTTCTTCTCTTCTTCTTTGCTTTTATCCAGGAAAACAACTACAAATTTTTTTTGCAATTTAAACAGCTTAGTTTTTTGTTCAGAAGTCATATAATTGTAAAGAGGCCATACCACTTGTCATGACTGGGTGAGCTCTTTCAAAGAGCTGCCTAATATTCTCTGGCTTTCCTATTCTTTCTCCAAAGTAGTGATATTTTTCCCCTGTGAGTACTTTATAAGTTATTCTTTTGAAAGCTACTGACGAATGTAATTCCACTCGTCTTTCAGGCAGTGCATTTTCAATTGCTGTAGCTTGCTGCATTTTTAAGTGTTTCCTCCATCTCCCTGTGGATTTCTTTGTCAATTACCTTAAACCTGTGTTCCCTGGTTTTTAAGTCATGTGTCAGTGGAAATCATTTCTAGCTATCCACCCCATTAAAATTCCTAATTTTGAGCAGCACTTAAAAAGCCGTTCAATTCCGTAAAGTTGCATTCCATTGGACTTTGTTTTTCCAGCGTCTTCAATAGATATTTCCAAAGAAATATTTAGGATGATTGAGTATCTTTGTGACATTTGCAACTTAAAAGTTGTTTATTTCTACATGTTCCATCCTTTTGTTTATGTGCTCTTTTACCGTTTAAAGGAGACAGACTGGAAGGTGCTGAAACTTGTACTGGATAAACTACCTGAATTACTGAAGTATAAGGGACTCATTCTGACCTCTCCATGCAGCATTGACCAACTCTGTTCTGCTCTCTGTACCATGGTAAAGTAAAATTAATTCAATCATCTGTACTCCATGTTTTTTCCTTATCTTTGCAATGGAATTGTGCTTGACTTGGGCTTTGACAGGTGCAAGCAGTTCTTTGGTATCTTCTCCATGCAGTGCAATCTAAAGTAGCTGTTTGTAAGTATGAAGAAACATTCGTAATTAAAATGAATATTAATACACCCTTGTATGGGAACACATTGGTAAGTTGGATGTTTGTAAATTAGGGGATCCCCCTGTTCATCATCAGCACCATGCTTCCATGTTCAGAGCTGAGTGTAACACTGTCCAACACAGGACCATCTGGGGAAATTATTTCTTTCCCTGCTATGTTGATTACGGAAAGGAATTAATAAATTCAGTATTAATTGGGAGATTAGTCTTGATCTGACCTCTTAAGATCTCAATTGTTGCTTATTTCAGACATCCGACATGAAGACATTGCTTTATTACAATTGTAAATGTTATATTAAGCATTTCCAGATTGAATGTGCTGTGTCTCCCTAGAAAACGTAAAAACTGGAGGTTATTAAATGTGTAGCGATGAATGATCTGTACTACTGAAATATAGGGAAATATCTGTCTCTGTCCTGTGGCAAAGTTGCTTTAAAAAATGTGGTCATTCCTGTTTTGTCAGGCTTGTATTTCCTGTCTCTGGTTAGAGCGCCACCAATAAAGGTGGTACACAGATTATTTGCCCCACAGTGCACCTTAGCATATCTTGGAGGATGCCCAAGGATGAGGTTTTCTTTTCAGTTTTGGCCACATTATACCTCCTGTTGACTTGAACTATATGAACCTTCTAGGATTGAATTCACTATGGGAGAAATTGGTGCACTCCGTGAAAGAATACTTTGAGTAGGCCGCGTAATATCAAGCTGGTAGTCATTTCAGACTTTCTTTTCTAGGTCACAGACCGCCAGCTAGCAGAGAGGTTGAGGAACACACCTGATGGTTTCTCTCGCACTGATGTCCAGTTGGCAGTTGTCCCAGTGCTGACAGTCATCACCTCATACCATATTTACTTGGACCAGTCTAAACAGGTAAATTAAACTGTAGCTAAAGGTGTTTTTGTTAGGCCATACTTTGGTCTTTGAACGAAGGGTAGGGACAACAAACAAAGCAATTTATTTAATCACTCGTGGGACGTGGGCATTGCTGCCTGGCCAGCATCTGTTGCCCATCCCTAGTTGCCCTTGAGAAGGTGGTGGTGAGCTAACTGCCTTCTTGAACCACTGCAATCCATGTGCTGTAGTTTGATCCACAATGACCATTGGAAGGGAATTCTAGGATTTTGACCCAGGAACAGTGATATATTTCCGAGTCAGGATAGTGAGTGGCTTGGAGGGGAACTTGCAGAGGTGGTGTTCCCATGCATTTGCTGCCCTTGTCCTTCTAGATGGAAGGGATTATATGTTTGGAAGATGCTATCTAAGGATCTTTGAATTTCTGCAGTGCATCTTGAGGATAGTTCATGCTGCTGCTACTGACATCAGTGGTGGAGGGAGTGGATGTGGTGCCTATGAAGTGGCTGCATTGTCCCAGATGGTGTCAAACTTCTTGTGTTGGAGCTACACCCATCTAGGCAAGTAGGGAGTATTCCATCACACTCCTAACTTGTACCTTGTAGATGGTGGACAGGCTTTGCAGAGTCAGGAGGTGGGTTACTTGCCACAGTCTTCCTAGCCTCTGACTTGCTCTTGTCGCCGCTGTATATGGCAAGTCCAGTTGAGTTTCCAGTGAGTGATAACTCCCCAGGACATTGATAGTGAGCGATTCAATGACAGTGATACCATTGAATATTAAGGGGGTGGTGGTTAGATTGCATATAAATGATTTAGATGTGTGTTGGGAATGGATGATCAGCCAGGTGAATTGACATACAAGGCATCATAATTTGCAGTCCAAGCATTGAAAACACAAACTTGCTATTTCGTGCACTAGCAATTAATCTACTACTTTGTTTGATCTAACCGGAGATTTATTTTTAAGTCGGATCGCTATTTGTTCTTGACACACTTAATTCAGACTACCCTAGTAAAAAAACTATTTAAGGCAGATGCAGAATTTGTAATAGTCCTTGAGTCTGCTGAAAATTCAGTTTTAACTGCAGTAGTTTAATGTGATGCGCATTAATAAAATTATAATGTTATTATATACATGACCATATTTCTGATAAAGATCCCTGAATAACCAAAATGAATTGTCTTAATATGATCCATTGTTCTTTGTTTTGAGCAGCGTGAATTTGTACATTGCCTTGATACTGGCCTGATCTACCGTTGTGCCAAACAGTGTGTAGTAACACTGACCATGTGTATCATCGAGATGCCCGACATAATGGTTAAACTGCTTCCTGGCATTATTCTCAAACTGACTCATATCTCTGCAACCCTCACCATGGCTATCCCTATGCTGGAATTTTTATCAAGTAAGATTACTTGGTTGCATTAGTGGCTCTTGTAACTAGTGATGAATGGGAGGTGTAATGTTTTATAATGCAGATCTGCTAAATTGCAATAGCTACCATTTCCAACAGTAGGCAGTTGTTGTCACAGGGACCAAATTTGTTTTTGATCCTGAGTGAACAGAGAGGCCCTGGTTTTGATTCTTTATTCAATTCTACCCCCACCTCATTGGTTAACTTAAAACTAAGATTCCTTCCTTCATGGATCCCTTTTCCTAATGTCAGTGTATTTATGTTTTAAAAGGAACAACGTTAACCAGACTTTATTGACTTGAAGGATGAGTATGTTTATTAGTTACTAAAATACAAACAAATAAAATGTGACTCTCTCAGACACCCGCACCCCCCCACACGCCCACAGATTAGAAATGAAAAGTGAGTTAAAAAGCTACAATTAGAGAGGATGTACACATTGATCTTTGGTTTGTCCATGTGGAGTAGTAAGTTGGGTAATTCTAGTGGCATTGACTCTGGCTGTTGAGCAGTTTGTTTGGAGAGCCTGTGTTTTGCAGATTGGCTGAAGGGAATTATTTGATTTCCTACTTAGCTGTAGCTTTTGACTGGCAACATGCTTTCAACAATCAGAGAGAGAGGGACGGTGTGACTGCCATTTCCTTTAACCTGCAAGCACAGGGTATCCAGTAGATGTTCCCAGCGGTAACCATCATGGCACACTGCTGCGCACTAGCACTAGAACACCAGGTTGGTGTGCACAAACCAGAGCTATAGTTAGTATTTAACCCTTTCTCTCCTGTGGAATACACCAGGAACACATCAATATGTCTTTCATGCAGATTGATTTCTTTTATCTCAAAAATGTGGAGAACACATCTCCTGGGGAATAGGGATGTAACTCTTAGGAGATGGTTCAGGTTTTTGCATTGTAGCTCTTCCTTTGAAGTGTCTTTCTGAAGTTCCTTGACACCCTTCCAGGAATGACACTCCATTCAAATGTATAGAATTGGAGAGACTGGTCAATGTAAAGTCAGCAGAACTCTGGAGGGAGTTGGCCATGGCATTTTCCGTGTGTTAAAGTCTTGGATCCATGGGTACATTTGGAAGTTGTAGTTTCATTGGTGCTTGGATAAATTGCATTCCTGAACATTGGAGTTGGAAGTTGGATCTCTTGTATACTTTAGGGGAGTAGAGATGGATGACGCGTGATCTATCTTGAAGTTCTCGGCTTAAGTACGCAGGAAAACTGTAGAAGATACATTTTACCTCTGCACAGTCAGAGTTGAAGGGATGGTGACATGTGAATCCCTTTGGCTGAAGCCTTGATGGTTTTTGAGATTTGCATTTGGATGTCATTTATAACAACAGTAAGCACGGAAAAGACATTGGAAATTCAGAGGCAATGAGCAATGGACTCGTGCGAACCTTCCACCCTCCTGTAAACATTAGGCGGTTGCCTGCTGGGATAGACACCAGCAGCAGAGGTTCTTTGCCTGGGGAAACCTGAACCAGGGAGGATACAGTTCCAGAATAAGGGGCTTCCTCTTTAAGATGGAGATGAAGAATTTATTCCCTGAAAGTTGTTAATCCTGGAATTATCTACCCTAGAGAAGTAATGTGTGCTGGGTCAACAAAGAGTAAGATAGACAGATTGCTGATCTGTAAGGATGTCAGTGGTTATGAGAGGCAGACAGGAAAGAGGAATTGAGGTGCTGATCAGATCAACATGCACTACTGTATAGTGCAGTAGGCCTGGGGGGTGGGGGCGAATGGGCTTACTCCTGTCTCTCATGATTTTACTACATGATTTTGCAATTTTACTTCCATTGGGCAAACTGGTAACATTTCTCTCAGAGTAAAAATCAACCTGTAACTTCCTGCTCACTACTGGGCAGTGCATCAAGCTGTCCTGTTCCCTTAGGGTACCTAGCTTTGTGATTTATTTGGTAGCTGCCACCAAATCACCCTCGATTCAGACAGAGAGGTCAATTGACAACATGTGCAAATCTTTTGAGGTATAAGAGATTTAAAATGTGTGTTCCCTTACAGCTTTGGTGAGACTCCCTCCTCTGTATGCCAATTTTGTAGCAGAACAGTATGTCAGTGTTTTTGCTATCTCCTTACCCTACACTAATCCTTTCAAGTAAGTGTTTAATTTTCTCAATCTTTTTTAAAAGAAATTTCAGAGTCTTTTTAAATAATTGCTCATATACTTAGATGTAGCTTTTAATTTTGTATTATAATTCATACATCTAAGTTACAATAGTATAAACTCATGTAAACCTGGCTTTAGTTCTTGACATTTTGAAGTGGTATGAAGGTGGCTATCAAAGAATACAGCTTAGGAAGTTTTCAGATTTACAGTTCTACTAAAGAAGCATTGCTTTTATTCTGTCATTCCTAGGTTCAACCAATATATAGTGTCTCTAGCACACCATGTAATAGCCATGTGGTTCATTCGTTGTCGGCTTGTGTTCCGAAAAGATTTTGTCCGGTATATTACAAAAGTAAGAATCTTGCACTTTACAAGTTGATTCTTCAGTTAGTATGTTGATTATTCATTACTGGCTTCTATTTTCAAAGAACCTATGTGCTTTGTAACTAACGCACTGCGACATGTAATTTGAGTTATATATTTGTGAAAATATTTTGGTTGGTTTTATACATTAATGTAGAAGATTTTAGACAACCTTACTGGTCAGAAATCTGACTGTATTGAAGTGTTTTGAGAAGGTACTTTGATAGTTGAGAATTTTTCTCACTGAATTTAGGTTTGAAAGCAAACCACATGCAACTTCAGTTTGTGGTGTTGGCAAAGAAATTTATATTTGTGGGAAGCATTAATTGTTGCTCCATCTAAAATGCACTGAGGATCTTGCAGATCTCCTATATAAATTACTTTAAAGAAAGAACATGTATTTGTGTAACATCACTTTACAATCTCAGAGCCTCCTGAAATATTTTATAGCCAATTTGTTAATTTTGAAATATGTAGTCTTTATTTTGTAGAACAAGTACTCAGCAATGTCTTATGAGCAGCTGGGAAATAAATGATCAGTTTGTTCTGATTCTTTATAATGTTTTCCTAGGCACCAGGAGAATGTCCCCGCCACCTGGCTATCTGTGCTGTATACCTCCCATAGTTTTAGTCCTTTTTGTTCATTATCTGCTTAGAATAGCTTTTGTCTTGTCTCTTGTAGAATGAGTAAGATTTTATGGCCGCACCGTCTGAGTATAGAGATTATAAAATTAGCTGTTCTGATTCAATGCAGGATAGGGATCTGAACTGCAATTATACGTTATATTATTAATGTTTCTTTATTTTAATAATCAAGGGCCTACGGTCAAATGCCTTATTACCATTTGAGGACACACATGAACCCAGCAGTTTTCGAGCCCGTAGCACAAGTTTGAATGAAAGACCCCTCAAAAGGTAGGCTAATTTCCAAAATTGGGAGCAAACATTTATTATAATGCATGTGTGATCTGAAGGTAAACTCTAACTTTAACTTTACTATTGAAATGTATAATGGCAATTTGAAGATGACTAGTGAAATTTTACATGGTGGCAGACTGTCAGTGTGAAAGCTGCTGTTTGGTACATAATGTCTCTTGGGCTAAAAAGCTGATTCTCCATTATGGTCACTAATAATAATTTATTTCAACTTTGCAAGAAAGTTCACTAACACTTCTAATGTTTGGTAATTCTAATGACATCCAGATGTATTTTGGGTGGAGTTGGAAAGTGCTAAAGTGTTGGAGAATTGAACAGTTGATGACAACACTGGACATTCATTTGTTCTGTTGAATACAGCTAGCCAGGTGTGGGTCAAATGCAATGTTCAACAGGAAATCTCCAATTCAAGCAGAAAATGTTAGAAATATCTAGCAGGTCTGGTGTAACAGATGTTGCAACCTGAATTATTAACTATCAACTGACCTGGGAAAAGTTAGAAATGTAATGGGTTTCAGGAGGTCAAACTGGGGAGAGTAGAAAAAGAACAAAGGGAAGGTTTCTGATGGGAATGAAAATGAGAGACGCTAAATGAAGTGCGGAGCCCTGCTGGGTAAGATTGCACATTCAGATTTTCATTATGGCAGATGTTGTATTCTTTGCACAGCAGGTCTGGGTTTGGTTGGCAGAACTTGTTTCACATTAAGTCTTTGAACAGAAAGGTCTTTAATCCCATAGGTCCTGGTGGGGTTTATCTGTTACATAAACTCCTTTCAATTAAACTGTTAATCACAGAATAATTTCTAATGCAGTGCTTCCCAAATATTTTCTCTACTGTGATCCCTTTTTACGGCCTGGGTATTGTCATGACCCCTCAGTAAGAACTGGAGAACTGTGATAGTGAGTAGAAAAGATCTGAGAGAGTAGAAGGGAACTTGGAGCTCATGACTCTAATGTTTCAACATGTGACCCTACTTGGATGCTAACACCCCATGCCCCCCACCTTGGGAAGAAGTATTCTAACATATACCACTGAGGACTTACAAAAACATGCTCTTGAGAGGTTTCAGTGAATTTGGGACAAAGTGGCTGATCTTAAATGTTCTCTCTATGGATCCATTAATTTTGCTGCTGAATTATGCAATCGTAAAGCCAGCCATACTTCACTGCTAGAGATAGCAGGAACTACAGATGCTGGAGAATGAGATAACAAGGTGTAGAGCTGGATGAACACAGTAGGCCAAGCAGCATCAGAGGAGCAGGAAGGCTGACGTTTCGGGCCTAGACCCTTCTGATGCTGTTTGGCCTGCTGTGTTCATCCAGCTCTACACCTTGTTATCTCATACTTCACTGCTGATCTGTTCTGAATGTGGTCTTCTATTATCTTGCTTCAGTGTCCAGTACTTATGCATTTTTAGTCAAATTAAAATTGTGCTTTGCCTTGTTTCTTTGATTTTTGTATAATGTATAGTTGGACTGTGCATAGTTTGATTTCGTTTTTGTGTTCAACTGTATACAGATGTGTAAGGTTGGAATATGAGCATTTGAAAGGAAGTGACTTTAAAAAAGGTATTTTTATACGATGATTCAAGGCAGTGATCCAGTCTTGCATTCCCACCAAATTGCTTCTTACTGGAAATCCATCTAAGTTAATGGGATGCTAGAGTACAATTTCCATTTGTCACTGTTGAGCTGACAGTAGGGTACTCAATGCATTCAGGTGGAAATCTGTTCTCGCTTTTTTTTTAAGCCCACATTCGTTGTTTTAAACAGCTTAAACACGTACATTCTGTGCAGTTTTCCTTCATTTATGTAGAGAATTTGACTTTACACAAATACATTAAGGGTTTGACCCCTAGTACCTCATGCAGTAACTTAAAGGCGATAGTTCCATAATTTATGTGGAACAACTGGCACTTCACTCACTTTCCTTTCCAATAATTATGTAACTCAAGGCTTTAAATGAGCCATATCTTGTTTATAGAGCGTATGACTCAAATTTTCTGACTAAAGTTGTTAGATATGTTATGCATGCTGAGATTTATGGCCATTTATTTTTCATTTGTTAAACCCTGCAGAGTTCCCAGTTAGCCATGAAACAAGCCCACGTTAATTAGGTCAGTTCTCAGTGTATTTGCAATTTTATCTCTCCCCGTGTACAATTGTGTGGTCATGATCTAGAATGCCATTCCAACCTTAATTTTCTGTATTGCTTGTTCTACCAGTTATAATCAATATTGTGATAGGAATTTGTATATTCCTTTGTTGTGTAGCATATATACTGTTTGATCTAATTTGCTATTTTGTCATGTTTCAGATTTTGTTTAATGCTTTCAAGTTTTTATTTCCCCCCTTTTGTTCTTCTATCTCTGCTGGTGTTTGCTTCCCTCACTTCACTTATCCGGGAACCCCATTCCTGGCCTGTGACCTCTGACCATCAACTCCTCCCAATGGCTCCTCTGCCACCTGCGGTGTCTTTGGGTTGGTGCTTGTAGCTTGCGAGCCACAAAGCCCCTAAAGCCAGGCTTGAATAGTTCCCAAATAAAAGATATGAAAGACCTCTCAGCAGTCGAGGCCTTCCGATCCCGCAGCATCAGTGTTTCAGAACATGCAGTCCGCAGGTAGAGGCATTACAAGAACCTATGGTCAACAGAATTTCATTCTGGGGTTTCTGCATGCTGGGAGGCTTGCATGAAGTAGTAGTAGATTTTTAAAGAAAATATCTTTTTTGCTATTTCAATGAATACCTAATATGTGAATTTTGATCTGGGTTGATATTGATTTCAGGAATGTAGATTATGTTTAGGTCAGTGGTTGTCACTCAGGCCTTTAAATTTAGTTTCCATTTCTTGAGATCCTATGACTGTGTAAATACAACTGTAAACTCGATAGACAAAATGCTCACTCTCGCCTTTGCTTTATTAAAAAACTTCCATTTATTTAGAATTTTCACAATTTCAGGAAATCCCAAGGCATTTTACAACCAATTACCTTTGGAAGTGTAATGTAGGAAAATAACATGGATAGTAACTAGTGAGGAACAGTACTTAATTGTATATATATTTGACTCCAGGATGATTACGAATACTTTTATGATAAATAGGGTAATGCCAGCTGCCTGACCTGTGAGAATTTTTTCCAGATGGATGCTGTGTTCACTATGATTTTATCCATCCCAATGTCTTTTCAGTGTCTTGTGTGTGACTATTCGGTGCTACCGTTTCAGATGCACAAAAGTAAGGGAAAGGGAAAAGAATTATAACAAAGATGAAGGAATAAAAATCTTGGTGCAGTTGGTTTGCCTGATTCACAAGCTGAATAGAGGAACTGCATTTGGTGGATCCCTCTTAAAACCTTTGTTTATACAAGTGAAGAGCACAAGAATGAATCTAAAGAACAGCAAGAGGTTTTGATACTAAGCTCACATTCGGAGTTAAGCCGATGCAATGGGACAGCAATCAAATCTCATTCAGCAGATGAACTACTGAGTGAACCACTGACATGTGCCTGAAAACCGGAAGGCCTGGAATTATTTTGCCACTTTTACTGGTGTATTCGGTTTGAGATGACATCAAAATGTAAAATTTGTACCCTCTCCTACCCTCAAAATGAATTCGAAGTTATATTTTACTCATGGCCCCTAATTTCTGAATCAATTCCTGTGTATATCACAAAACTGGTTAAATTAATATAATATTTGATCATTGTGGAAATCAAAGCAGGTTTAATTAAATGTTAATTGTTAGTTTGCTTCTGAGGCATGACTTTTTAGAACTCCTGATGGGTAGTCTTGTTTTAATACAAATAAGAGAGCTAAACTAAAGACAACCTGTTAACACATTTATTTTAGTCCCTGATGAGAAACATGCTATTGGCGATCATTTTTATTTCTTCACTGCTGAATTCTGTTCTTTACCCTCTGATTCTGCCTAAGTGATGAATGATTTCCTACAATCCATGTGTTGTAGAAGCTCAGAATAGCTTTAAAATATTATGCTTGTGTTTCTTATAACGTATTTATTTTTAATCTTCAGCACTCTTTCCTTTGCCCCTGCTCAATTATTTTTGCAATTTTGTAAACTGACATCCATCAAAATTTTAAAAACTCACAGCATCCTTATCCACTGTGTAGATGTGTCACTGAATTACCAATAGACATTAATTTGCAAGATTCTCACGAATAGTGTTGAATCCCCGATTGAAGATGTTTAAAATAAGTATGTAGTTATCCATTGTCATAGCCTTCAGTTTTGACACTCCGTACTAATCATCTCACTGTCAAGAAACCAAGTTGCTCTAGGCAGATTGAATATAACGGGAATAAACTAAAGGCCCTTTGAACCTGCAATGCTATTCAATATGATCATGACTGATCTCCTAAGTTAACTGCCTTTTCTTCATATACCTCGAATCCCTTAAGTCCAAAGGTCTGTTGATCTTAACCTCAACAAAGAATTCCAAAGACTTACATCCCCAGAGGGAAGAAATGTCGCCATGGTTTTACTGAGATTGTCTGGTATATCAGACTCCCTTGTTTTAAACTCCGAGCTGCTGCATAATGTGGAGCTGCCCTTTATAATATCACACAACAGTAACAATTTATTTAAAGCATTAGTGGAACTAAGAAATGCTCTTGTTTTGAAACATCATTTTTGTATATCACATTGCCTGCTGAACATGGAGTACATCTGTTTCAACTACTGACTGAATGCTTATCTTTCAGGTGGGTATGGTGCACAACATGTGCCATGTTCAAAGCAATTCTTCTATGATGAGTTGTCATTTCCACACTACTTGTTCAGCGTTAGCTGTGTAATCAACTAGAATCTAGATTGATACTTGCCCATGAAAGCCAATAGTTAGAAAAATTGATTTCCCTTATGGCTAATTCAATTGTGTATTAAACAATTTGAACCAGTGAAAGTAAAGTATAAAAAAAATCACAGAGATAGTAGGAACTGCTGATGCTGGAGCCTGACATAACAAGGTGTGGAGCTGGATGAACACAGCAGACCAGGCAGCATCAGAGAAGCAGGAAAGCTGACGTTTCGAGTCTGGACCCTTCTTCAGAAAATTTTCAGAAAATATCACAGTTGTTTTTGCATGTTCTGAGAGACAACCACTGACCGAAGGTCTGAATACAGTCTAGTCCTGATACATTGAATTTCTTCCTTTGAAGACTTAATAAAAAAAAAAAGCCTTTTTAAATGAAGAGGATTAGACTGTACTTACAACCCTTCAATGATATGTAATTAACTCTGGGATAGTCATACTATTTTATTAATAATACATCAAAATTATGTTTAATTCTATCTTTCAACCAGATCATTCATTTGGCCGCTTGCAGTATTTGTGACAACCATTTTCTTTTTCTGGTGAGCTTTAGCTAACGATAAATGAACATAAAAGAACACGGAGTCCATCAGTTTTACGAATCTAAATATTCAAATCTTTGAACTAAGTTCAACAAATCTGGCATCATTATATAGAGATACTTCTTTTAAAAAAAAAATACATCATTGCAAAGGTTATAATCAGCTCTGAAATGCAAATTGATGGTAAATTTGCAAGATAGGCAAGTGGCAAATACTTGCTTGAAACAAAGTACGTTGTTTTATGTTTGGTGCAAAGGCCAAATTTCTGTAATGATAATATCATTCAAAAAAATCCAAACAAACTCATTCTTGACGCTTGCTTGAAATGGTATGCAAATATTAATAATACTGAGAGAAGGATCTAATTGTTGTCATTGCACTAGGGTGTAATTTATGCTCTTATTTTTACTTAATCCCTTCCAATTCCAGTAGAATGCAGTCTTCTGTCACAAGTTCAAGTTTGGGATCAGCAGATGAGAATTCAATGGCAGAGGCTGAAGACAGTCTTAAAACTGTGCACCTTGAGCTAACTGAAACTTGCTTGGATATGATGGCGCGATACGTTTTCTCCAACTTTTCTGCTCTGCCCAAGAGGTTTGTATTGCATTTTCAGAAACGTTTGTTCATTTTTCTAGCATCCTTTGAAAGTAATTTTTTAAAGAGAATTGCATGGTACTTGAAACATAAATCACCAATTGACCCATAGTTCTCATGAACTTGTGATCACTTCTCGTCATCTGAACCCTTCAAGATCACCTTCCATTTCTTTCTCCCACTTGCTTATGTAGCTTTTCCATTAATGCTATTTGCCTCATTTACATATGTAGTCAGATTCGCAATCTAACTAATCTCTAGGTAAAGAAGTTATATTTGAATTTTTTTATTGGATCTATTAGTGACCAACTTATGGCTTCTAGTCTTGGTCTCCTCCAGAAGTGGAAGTATTTTCTGCACACCACCAATGTCTTTCATAATCTTATATGCCAAATCAGATCACTTTCTTGGTCATCATTTTATAACAAAAAATCCCAATTTTTCTTGTTATCTGTGATGTCTCAGTTCATCCTAAGAAAAGTTTTCTTGTTCCTTCTTATCACAGTATTAATATTAAAATATAAATGGAATTAAAGGAAAAACTACAGATGTGTGAGAACACTGCAGGATTTCATTGGAATCTGCCTCACTCTTCTATATATAGTTGATGCGCTACCTATGCCCAATTTTACTTAAAATGAGATGCACTAATTTTGCTTAAAATATTGTGAATTGCTCACCTCAAATTTTGGAAACTGACCTCATTCTTTTTCCATTTTTACACTCAAGTCGATATCATGCCTTCCTTTGGTCTCATCCACATTCATCTGATTTTTAAGGTCACCTGTGGCAGAGTTTCTTCTTGGTGCAGGAAGAAGTAATACATGGCTGGTTGGAAACAAGCTTGTCACGGTAACCACCAGCAGTGGCGTCGGAACAAGAGCGCTGTTGGGTTTAGATTCCTTGGATCAAAAGAGGACTGAAGAAGTATCCAGGTGTGGACTGCAGAAGTACTGCAGCATCGTGTGTAGTAAAATGTTTGCTTACTGTGCTTTTGTTGATCTTCAATATTTGATGTAAAAACAGCTGGTGTTTCATCATCTGTAAGTAGTGGTCCCAAATTATGTTTCGTCAAATGTAATTTGCTGACGTACTTCTAGTAACAAAGGCAATGATCAACTATATTGTTAGCTAATTATGCAAAGGTTTTGTGTGCATTTTGGATTTGAATGGGATTTCAATTAAGTGATTTCTGCCCTGACTCTCTCTTTAAGACTGGATTTATCTCAACAAGTGAAAACAACTCAAGAAGCACCTGCCAAGCTGGAGTCTCAGACCAGTCAGCAGATTGGAAAAGCCGCACGCCTGCGAGTGAGATCCATATCAGGTGAATGTTGAAAGGATTAGGTTTTTCTTTGAAGAGGAATAATATTTAACATTGGGCAATGAATATTAAATATTATTCTCCTTTCCCTTTAATGCCAAGTTTCCTGTTTATAATCACAATGACAATATTCATAAATCTAATAAAATCTTGTTGCTGGCTAATTGCATCTATCATTTGTGCTTCACTGTCTAAATACTTAACATATTGAACACTGGTTTAAAATCCAGTGCTTTGAAGCAAAAAATTTTGGAACCGTACATAGCTCTGTTCTAGTTCTGCAGATATATTTACCGCATCTTTTGTTATTCACCACACATTGGAGCAACATGTTTTTGCCCTAATAACAAGGAGGGCATACATTATTGTTGCTCCATTTCAGTGTGAATTGCTTTTCTTTAATCTTGTTTTTCTGGTTTTCTAGGTGGCCACGCTCTTCACAGTGATTCAGTTCAGAGCTTAAGTCCCCTGGTGTCACCCTCGGATAGTGAGTTCTGCACCCCTGTAGCATCAAATTTGAAAGGATTGGAAAACAAGAAAACACTGCGTCAGGTTGGCCCTTCAACTGGCCAGCTGCTGTACCAGAAGGAAAAAGCCAATCTGGCTGAATATGCGCCTGTACTTACTCAAGGCTGGGCAGAAGTATACATTCGTCGACCCTCTGGTATAAACACTAGATTGGGTGCCTCTCTCAAAGCTTTAGAATGATTGTGGCTTTAATAAACTTTCCCCAATTTCAAACCAAATAAATGTTACAAAATGCAAACTTCAGGAACAGGAAAAGGCCCTATTTGCACAACAGGTTGGAAATTTTTGACTGTTCTCTATCCTACCTTTCTGTTTTCTCACCATGTGCCTGTTATGGCAACTTATTCAAGAAACAAGTTTATTTGTTAAACTCATTGTAGTTACTTCAGTGCTGTTCATAATTAATTCACTGGGAATAATTTTAACCTAACCAGCTTGCCAGAAAACTGACAAGATGAGTTATGGAAATGGTTTAATCCTTGCTTGATGTACAGTGTATTGAAGTTAACAGAGTTAATATCGTGAAGGAAGGGTATAAAACCGGCACTTACCCTGATCCTGTAAGTTCTATATACCTGTTACAATTAAGTCTATAAAGTCCTATTTGCCTGTTACCTATTGTGTGAAATAGTTGCATTGTATTTTACATGGCACACATTCAGGGCACTTGACCCAAATGGTCCATGTCAGTGTACGTGCTCCATGTGAGCTTCCTCCCACACTACTTCACCTTATCCCATCAGCAGGTCATACTTAGGTCTTAAACACATCTCATACCTACCTGAAAAGTTGAGATTTTATTCTTAATTTCCTGCTGGTTGTCTTAGGTGAATTAAATATTTCTCATTTAAAACTGTGAAATTCTTCTCCTGTTCCTGAAAAACAACTTTGCTTTTACACATTCTGACTCTTAAATAAAACCTGTAATAAGTTACTTTTCTGGTCTTAACATGTTTTAGAAGTGTTAAATTTGGTTCCTTGCAGGTAATGCAAGTTGGCTTCTGTGTCTGGAGAATCCACCAAGTCCATTCTCATCCGAGATAAATAACATGCCCCTACAAGAGCTGTCCACAATGCTAATGGCTGTAGAGCGAGTGACCGATCCACGTCATCATGGTCCTAGTCGATCAGAATCCATGCCATGCCCGACTGCTGGGGCAGCCAAACCCACCTTGCTTCAGCGCTTCAACACGGGTTAGTGAAAGTTTCCACTTAACCATCAGTTTCACAGTCCTCACTTTCAAGCCTGTGTATTATTTTATATTCTGTACCTGAAATTCATTGAATATTGTTGAATTTTAGTGACTATAATGTTAATACTTTTAAGAAGTGATAGAAAATCTTAATCTACTTGCTGCATTGAGCTTTCACATGGTTCTTTAAGCTAAGATGTTAAATTAGGATGCTTTTTAAAATTTTAAATCTTTGTTAAATCTAGAAGTTGTACATTATCCATGTGCAATGTTTCTTGGCTTGGCTATTATTTTGAGGATTTTTAGTCTTTGTAAATGCAATTTGGTGTTTTGCATGTTAGTAGGGGAGATTTTCCTTTGGTAGTTGCCCACCATACAAAATGATAAATGACGAAGCAGACGCTCTTGTTTGTCCTGTCCTGAGGCAGCTGTCCATTTGGGGCAGGCCTGTTTGCGTAGGCAAGGTGCTAACTGTGCAGTAGTAAATCGAAGTCTACAACTGCACTGGGTGATTGGGACTTAGGGCTACTGGCTGTGGGAAATCGAGACTGAGGCACTTCAAATTAATTGTGCTGCCTACCAACATGTTCTCCAGCTTTTTCTGAGACACATGGTTTGACAAGAAGTGGAGGATTTGGGACTGCCATCTGTTTTCAACATTTGCCCAAGCATTAAACGGCCAGGTAAATGATCTGGAGAACGAGGCATGAAATATCAGTCTCTACCTCCCATTGACTTTTCCACCCGATGCCTTAGAGTAGAAATGTTGGTCTTGCAATAACTACAGGCCCCCTTGCATCATTACAGAGTGGCAGTAGAAGTACAGGGATAGCACAGCTTGGCGCATCAGTCTTTGTCCCTTTTACTGATTCTCCCAGCAAAAAGTAGAAGGCAATGTTTTCCTGGAGAAAAGCAAGGTCCTTAATTATTCTCAACATTTGCATGAATAGGTGCCTTTTTTTGCTCAAGTTTAATTTCTAAATATTTCCAAAGTTTTTGATGACTTTAATAACCCTGTAAAATTAATCTGAGATTCAGATGGCTTGTGTTTTTAAATGTATCTCATATTAAAACTTGTGTAGTTACATAGTATTTTGCATCAAACATCATCTGCAGCAGGTTTTTTTCAGTATTTGTTTCTAACTCAAATCAATTGTTCGGATTTTTGTTAAAGTTTGTGTCCTGTCCTTCACACAGCCACTGATTTCATTTCCCTTTGCAGTCGATTCTTTCTCTTCTATGTACCAGACAAGCTGTCAAGAAAAGTTGCACAGGAGCATTTCCTGGGCAGGTACACAGTAGCACACTTAAGACTCCCATGAATCATTAGTGCCCATGCATTGCGTGCTGTTTCATAGCTGTGTGTGTCTTATGTGAGAAAAAAAATGATCCTAATAATTAGCTGGAGGAGCATGGAATTCCCCCACCTTGATGTTACAAAGCGGCAGCCTTGACTTAAACCATTTACTTTCAATGAGTGAATATTTATTTGAACAATTTGCTTATTAACAAAAGGCTCAGTTGTCTCATTAGGTGGAGTTGAAACTAATCAAGCATGCACTGCTAATTGAAACCAGCTTATTTGAAAATCATTATTTGGTGCAGGGTATAGCACTATTAGTTTCATACATGTAAGAAGATAATTTTCTCATAACACCTTTTAATGTAAACGCATTCATTCTTTAAATATTGTGGCTTCGAATAGATAAGATTATTTTTGTTATGGTATTGCTGTTAAATAACTATTATTTGTCTTCCTCACTTTGAACCTGGACCCCACATCCCTTCACCATCAAATTTGTTGCTGAACTCTAAAAACGGTCGCTATGTGATATGGAATTTTTATTTTAATTTGCTGATTTGTAAAACCTAATGAATTAGCAGCTTTGACTATTGTAATTGGATGGCACCATTTTCAACGCCTGATCGCCAGGGCGACTGAAATAATGACCAAGTGAATAGGGATGGGATCCTGACTCAAAACCCAGGCAAGTAATAATGCTAGTCATGCTGCAAGTAAACTTGGCTCAGGTTTACTCTCATGACAAGATATAACTGCATGAAATGAGAAAGTGGCGGGGATGTGGATATATGCTAGCATAAAGCTATCTCCAGTTCTAGTAAGTTCCAACATCACAGCAAAAAGTGCGGTGTAATGGGGTGCAAAATCAAATGTGCAGTTTAAGCTCAATAAAACTGAGGACTGAATTTCTGAAAACTAGTGCTTTTATTGTGAATTGCATGAATCTGGCTTGCAGATCTGTGTTTTACTCAAACATGTAGGAAGTGCAGCTGTTCCAGTTTATATTAAGTATTGAAGTCTGTACTGAATCTACAGGTTAAGGCATAAAAGTAATGCTAACGTTTCTTGGTCCAATAAACCAGAGTACTGTAACTAGGCTTTCAGCCAGGTTATCAAGAAGAATTAATCTTTTTAGCATAATGCCAAATTCCGAATAAAATCTATGCTGGAGCAAACAAAAAGGAACAAGAAACTTTGAAGGTTATTTCCTATCTCATAATATGCCACGGCTGAAAAATCTACTGTTATTCCTAGCTGCAGTAAGGAATAAAGTTGGTGCACAAGTTTAGCAAAATTTAGTTATGAAAAGCCCTATATGGTTTTCTGACATTTGGTGATTGACATATTTGCTTGCTCAAGTTTACTTGGTTTAGCAAAAACAATTAACTGTATGTTAGTTGCAAAACAGAGATTGGTACGCTGCAGAAATAAAGTAAGGAAGAGCTGAATTAAGACTTGAGGACAAGGGAAGTAGATAAGTTAATGTGCTGCATGTGGTATTAGTTTCTGTGTGAGCAAAATGCCAAACCAGAGGAACTTTGCTAATTGGCTGATTTTTGTTTTTAAAAAAAATCTTCCAGCCTTGGTTTTGACTTTGAATTTGGCAAGTTTCCTTAACACCTTGTTTCTAATCAAGAATGAGTCCAAGAGTGTGAATGCGTCATCTAGTGTTATTCAAATTAAAAAGTAGCATTGATTTTGTAGTCTCTTGGGGTCAATGAATATAGCATAGCTTGCATTTAAAAAATAAATGCATCAAAACATGTCACATCTGACATGTTCTGTTTAATTGAACAAAGGAAAAACATAAAGACTCCACTATTCTCTTTAATCCATATGTCGTATAAGCATTACATTTAAAAGTTTAAATAGTCAAGCCACTGGAAGCTAATGTATTTGGAGAACTAGTGCCTTAGGATGCTTTCCTTCATTTTAAAGAAACTATACAGATTATTGCAAGGCATGATCAGAAAGTTAAGTGCAAATATTGAATTATCTGAGTCACTTTCTGACTTGTATTGTTCAGTTTCCTTTTCATAAAATACAAGAACAAAGAAAGCTACGTGAAAGCTGTTGTGCTGTCCTTAGCCATGTGCCTTACTTCTGCTATGAAGAAGTGTGATCCAAATATTAATTTATAGTAAGGTTGACTGGACCCTTTGAACTTTTAACAATGAGGGGAATCTGCAAAGAAACAAAGGCAGTAGATACAAAAGCAACAGTAGTGCATCTGCAGGAAGTAGGGGTCAAGATGAAAATTTACAATCTGCAGGACTTTGAGAGAGGTCACATGGTGCAATTTGGGGGTGGAAGAAAGTACATTTTGAACCCAGAAAGATTTTGAGATACATTCCCTGAAGAGGAACAACTCTGTTTCTGATGAAGGGTCTAGGCCCGAAACGTCAGCCTTTTTGCTCCTATGATGCTGCTTGGCCTGCTGTGTTCATCCAGCTCTGTACCTTGTTGTCTCGGATTCTCCAGCATCTGCAATTCCTACTATCTGTGTGCTCCCTCTGTCTTTTTTTTTGCAATTCCTCTCAAAATGTGAGCTGAATACCTATTAGAAGTCATCTTTACCGATTCTGAAGAAGACTTTTTTAAAAGTCTACCTCACTGTCTCCAATGAAGTGATTTCAGCCACTTATCACTGTTCTACAAAGACGCCCCTTCCCCTTGTGTGTGCAGAATAACTTTATTATTCCACCATTTCAGCAATCCGTGATTTATCCTTTTCTCCTGAGTTTAACTGTCACTTGCCAAAGTACTTTTAAGTTAACTCTTTGCAAAGTTTTCATTTCTCCTTGTTTTTCTTCTAATGTGTATGTTAACTTTTTGAAGGGTTGGTATATGTTCTTTTAAAAAAAAGGCCAAACTATCAATAAGTTTTGAGTAAGTTTTGTTCATAATAAGCTAGGCATTCTTTGATTTAAAGAAACCTGGATGACTTTTTCCTGATTCTAACCCTTTACAGTCTGATACTTATAATTGGCTACTTCATCTTGTTAGGAAGGGGAGGTAAAACTCCTCTAATTAAAATCGAAGCACAAGACCCTAGTCTTTTACGACGGGAGTAGAGGTCCCTTTCTAATAATTTAAACCCGAAACACCCAGAGAAGCTTGCCTCACCTTGCCTCATCTGTTTAAAAAGGAGTGGTTAAATGAAAGAAAATCCCTGATATTCACTTTATAAGCAACAAGTAACAATTTATTTATTTTAACCCTGACAGTGAAAAAATTAACAAAACTACTAACATGCCAAACAATTCCCCCCTAACTATTAACTATTCCCTAACTGAACAAAATTCTACTGATACGCAGTTCCAATAAACACAATTCCCACTTATGTGAATCCAAGTAATAAGAAACTATATTAAAGCTTAGACTCTCAAAGTCCATACAAGGTGTGTATTCTGGAATGTTCTTTGCCTTATTCGCTGATCCTTCTGTTAGGAATGCTTTCTCTGTGAATTCTTCTGTAAGGAATCTTAGCTAGGAGTGCCGTGGTACCTTTATGAATAGATGGTGCTGTCTCGGAGAGCTTAGAGATTTCTATGAGAACCAGATATTTACTCTTCAGATGGCAGTTCACGCTCACACCAATTTTCAAAAACCATCTTCTTATATACCCCTGATGACCTGTAAATTTTCTTATAATAGGATTGGTCTAAGGTTGTCAAAACCATCAGATTTAAATTTAATTTGTTTTCAATCTCTATGTACTTGGTTTAAATTAATTGGCTGATCTTCAAGCTAGTTGCCAAAACATCAAAACAAGCCTAGGTTTCCAATCTCTCAGCCAATTGATACAGGTTTCAATTTCAGCACTATCTGTACCTCTTCATCTGCTTACATACATGTTTTGTTTAAATCTCCAAGCTTAGAAAAACACATCACCTCTTAAAGGGACTAGGCATGTTTCCCCCCTTTCATTTTTATGAACAAATTCTAATTTGCTGCCTTCCAATTCGCGAGTACTCTAACCAGATTTTTGCGAAGTTGTGTAATGGAAAATATTATGACCAATACAGAAGTTGGACTAGGAAAAGAATTGGCCACCTTCCAGCCTTGAATGTAACACTTAAAGACAATTATTTTTAAGTTAAGCTAAGTTGACTTGTCATAGATAAAACACTGACTTGTTTTGCGTATTGCTTTTATTAGAGATAATAGTTCAAAAGAAGAGTTAGATAGTACATTTTGGTGTATGTACTTTTATATTCTTTATTTCTATGCATTAGTGTTCCAAATTACTTTGAACAGAGAATGTAGTTTTATTGTCAGTCAGAGTAGTGTTTATGAATCTGCTAATTTATTCCATGTTGGGCAATTACTCAGTATTAAACTTGTGCTAAGTTGCTAAATAGATGGCTTCAGTACATCTCAAAGGATTGTTATCATTTGATGTAGGTAGAAGAGAGAGAGGATGGTGCTAGGTTTCATAGTTCATGCTGTAGTCTTCCATGTTACTGCTAATGCTTCGCATGGAATTTTGAAAGAATAAAACGTTGATCCTCCACTCTTCATGTACCTTGAACAAGTTCTCATCTGTTCCGAGGTTTTGCAGTTAGAAAAAAGGGAATATTGTGTTAAACAATGAATGAGACCGTGAATGTGTCCTGATCGTGACTTGAATTTCTAGATTCAGTTGCAGTGGTAGAGGAAGGTGATGGGCCTGGGATGCACTTGAAGGTGTGCGACTCTCCTGTGGAGTCTCAAGAACTTGAAGACTTCGAGGCGATGGTATCAGAGCCAATCTTCATGCCCGCAGAGAGCTATGATAAAAGTCCAGTGCACTGCAGTAGAGTAAGTGAATGCACTTTTTTGTCTTGGGAAGGCCATTATCTATTGTTCGTTAAATTTATTATTTTCTTTTCAATCCTTGCTGTGATACAATGGTTTAATTCACTGCTGCAAATTAAACAAAACTTGCCTTTATATCATCTTTGCCCCACTATCTTTGACCCAGATTTGAGATTGTTTGAGATTGCGATTGATAGATGTATCATTCAGCTGTGTTCATTGTTCACAATGCAGTCACCTTTTTATATCGAGACCCAGTGCAGATTGGCTGTTTAGCTAGCTAAGTTATCTCTGGCACAGAACCACAGCCCCAACCTTCCTGTACAATTCTGATCCTTCAATTGTGTTGGCCTGCTATACTCCTACATCCAAAATCAATGTAAAGTGGTTGAAAATCAGTATACCAACATTCTCTCAGAAACTTTGCAGCAATCTGGCACTGACATTATGCTTCAGGTAGTAGCTGCCTGCCTCCATTTTTCGCATTACTATTTTTTCCCATTTGCTTACCTCTTTACACCTTTTTGGAGTTTCATTACTCGTTTTATTTTTCTGAATCCTCTCACAGCCGGACTGAGCTGAGACTTGTATGTCATCCAGCTCTTTTAAATTCTGCCCAG